AACTGGAAGTAGAAAGAAGCATATCTCTCTTCTAGAGCAAAACGTTGGATTCAAAGAAAAAACGAAACAGGAGGATGTGTGCACGTGTACAGAAAGTGACTCGTGTAGGTAAAATTATAATAAGAAACGGTTACACTAGCAGCGTTATCTGTGCAAAAAGTCTACTCAATCAGCAAATACTTGCTGTAAATATATAAATTAACTAATATTTCAGGTTTTGGTCGTTACATATTTATTTTGCTATTATTTAGTATTAAAAAACAACTTTTATATAGTTATTTTCATTTTCTAATAAACAGGCTTTTTCACAGATGTAGAAAATGATTATCTTCTGCCTCTTTGTTTAGCATTTGTGGTCAGTTTCAAGGTAGATACCATGCAGAGTTTAACACATTGGACCCTGGAAAAAATAGGAATCACAAGTCAAGTATGGAGTATTAAATTTCCGTCTTGCTGACTTAACTTATTACAGCAGCAAAAGTGAAGGTAAAAAAAAGTCTAGTCAACAAAAAATACATTAGAATTTGTTAGGTGCTATTATTTTGTGGATGCACACCTACTTTTATGATGCAAAATGTCTCAACACTTTTCGTTTTCATTTGACACATCTTAAATAAGATAAGGCTGGTTTCACTCTATCCATTTCATGTCAACTCACTCCAGTAGCTCATACAAAAAGCAGGTAAATTCAAACATTTAGAAAAGGCCTGAGTCAAGTAGGTTTAATGGAGATATTATGGGATCCATGACAACAGATGAAAACAAATTAATCTAAATAGGTATTGCATCACATTTCCTATGTATACAAGCAAACGACCCCAAAGTTAAAATTAGGCCTGTCACGATAAACAATAAATCAATTAATCACATGATAAATGAAAATTATCAACCTCGTTCACATTTATCGGCTTTATCATTTCTTCATGTCTCTCTTTCTACTGAAGACACTGGATGACAAAAGACTCAACTCCGCTGCTCTTCACTGATCCCTCCCTTTCCCTTTTCTTTAAAAAATCTGTTTAATGATCCAAAATTGCATTTTTGGATCGTTAAAAGCAGCTAAGCTGAGAAGCTAAGCTAAGAGCTAAGCTAACAGGCTGACCTCTGGAATAAACCTCAGTCTTGTTAAAGCTCCAAAATTCATGGTTGAAACATGTGCCTTCGTGTAAAAAGTTGTTTTTCTCTGCAAAAAGAAGCTGAGAAAAGTCCATGCTCAATAATCCAGGTATACAATCCAACAATTTTCAGTCAGGTCATTTGGACAGTTTCTGAGATGACCTGACTGAAAAATGTTGGATTGTATACCTGGATTACTGAGCATGGACTTTGTTGGTTTTGAACCAGTTTGACATGACTGTCGACGAGGAAGAGGGCTGGCACCGGAGGAGAGGGCATGCCAAAGACACCATCTTAGCACCAACATAAATGGTTTGTTCCACTTTGGAGTAAGCTGTTTGGGGGAAGAATCAGTTTTGTGTTATGCGTTTCCTTGACTTATGAAGCCTTCTGGATGGAAGGTGAAATGTTTCAGCACCAAAAAAACAAAGAAACTGTCCAGATGACCCGACTGAAAATTGTTGGAAGCTGAGAACTTGTTTACTGATTTTGTATTAAAAGCTTTGTGTGAAAAATGCTACGCTAAAGAGCTCAAATCCCCGAGCGTCTGCCATGTCACCATGTCAGCCCATGTCACGTCAAGGGCCCTCCCTCCCATTTTTCTTATAGCTCAATTACCCAGCCTTTGGTTCAAACAGTCTTATACTGCCATCAGGTGGTCAAAAAAGGTACTACACACCAAACAAATCAACATTTCTTCTAAAATTTGACAATTAATTATTGTTCAATTTCAAAAAATATTATTGTTTATCGCAATAATTTCTGAGACAATTAGCCGCCCAGAAAAATTTGTTATTGTGACAGGCCTAGTTAAAATCGTCTCAGCTTCTTGTTTAAAGTGATTATTCCTACACAGACTACCAAGTGAGCAACAACTAAATTTAAGGCTTTGCAAAAGTTTCATCAGTGGCAGGTAAAGGGATTTAAATCTGGCACCGAGGGTGACATTTTTAACACTGGCAGTTAGTTTATGTTGCCAGAGCTACAGAGAGCAGCAACTGCAGAAATGGATACAAAGAAGGCTACAGCAAACGGGAGCAGGAAAATCAAATAAGTCCTGAAGAGAAGCTTTGGATGCTACAAAGAAATTAAAAAAGAGATAAATAATGACAGAAAATAATATTATTGCTGCTTCATAAGCAATAGGCTTATCTGTCTTTTATCTTTTATTTAATGAGGGCATTTATTGAGAAAATGAAATGTTACCAATAATAACAGAATCAGTCAGTGAAAAGAAATGCAATACATTCACAAATCATCAGAAACTCAGGGTTTAAGAAAACAGCAGGATGATTATTTCCTGCTCAACCATCACCTGAGCCTAATGGTTCCTTGTTAATTGCCATTTTGCAGTTGTTAATCAAACTACAGTCATAAAATTGGCCCAGTGGTATTTTTTATCTTTAATAAGTATTTTACTACTAGTGATAAAAACTTAATTTGCAGTCTAGTCTTTCTGAAAATGCACAGACATTTATTTAGATTTAGTATTTATTCACTGTCTGTTTTTAAAATATCTTATTTTAGAGACTTTCTACCAAGAGTCTGGCTGAAAAAGAAATATGTAGTATTCATTATCCGACAGCCAGGACATCTTCCATAGTTACACATAAATTACTGATATATTCTTTATTTTTTAATTCGATTTTACCTCCAAAAGAAGAGATTGGTTTCTTATGACAGTCATGAGTGGACAAATCTTTTTCTCAGATGTTCTGAGATCTCACTTGTGACTTCGACAAAGATTGTCTGGCTGTCTTTTTACAAAAGTGTATCACTGTTAACCAGTGGTGGGATGTAACAAAGTACAAGTACTTCATTACTGTACTTAAGTACATTTTTCATGCATCTGTGCTTCATTTAAGTAGAGTTAAACATGGGTACTTTCTACTTTTACTCCACTACATTTTACATTAAGTATCTGTACTTTCTACTACACTACATTTCTATAAATAAATTTCATATGACCATATGTATAGTTTCGTCCCACCTCATGTCCCACATGTGATGTGAATGACAATAAAAATCCTTGTGTCCTTGTATAATGCATTGTATTAAAAGTTGCATTCACGTTGCATTTTTTTTATCTGTTCGTTAGTTTGAAAGTAACCAGTGGTGAGAGGGGAGTTGGTCCATTGAATCACTGCAAAGTGGACAGGCAACGTTGGACCCACCTTCAAGAAGAGCTGGACCAATGACGTATATTCTAGTTTATATATCTCTGAGCTGGACGCACCCACAGCACCACTAACACACCCAAAATGGATTCCACCACGGAGAGTCAGAAAGAAGATACGCACCACCATGGCCTTATTGAAAGACTATTGAAAGATTATTGAAAGACTATTGAAAGACTATTGAAAGACTATTGAAAGACTATTGAAAGACTATTGAAAGACTATTGAAAGACTATTGAAAGACTGTTCAGTACAGCAGGACAGATTTTATCTCCCAAAGATCCAGACTGGACTGAAAAAACTTTGAAAACCAACTTCTTCTGAACTTGAACAAGAAATTCTTGCTGCAATATTAAAATGTGTCAGTTCATGGGATGTTGGACAGGAGACAAGAGATGTCTCCAAATGTCTCGACACTCGGGTCCAAGTTTTGAAAATGGTGTCAGGAAGTTAAAATATTGTTCACTATTGACCCATTACAAGGTTTAGACAGTATTTTAACTAGTTGATGACAAACTGGAGTTGAAATGATCAGATATTCCTTGTTAGGTTTAATGCTCCTTTTTTCAGGCAGACAACTTTTACTTAAATGTGTTTACTGCAGTTAAAATGTCACTTTGGTTTACTTTGTGTTAAATAAAAACTTTCAAAGGTAAAATCATTCCTCTTTCTTATTTTGCTTAATGACATTTAACTCTGCACGTCATCCCTGAAATTCTGATATAAAATCACAAGTCCAAGTGTGAACGGTGTCACAGAGTAAACACAATAAAAACATGAATTATCTGCAGCATTGTTCATTAAAATGGCTCAACACTATTAATGTATTACAGAAAATATACATCTGGTAGGCACACTTATGCTATTGTAGACCATTGCATTAGTTAACACATTCAGCAAGTACTTTTACTTGTAATACAAGTATTTTTAAAAGCAAGTACTTACAGTATTTACTTTTACCTAAATAAAAACATTAATGTGGCACTTCTACTTTTGCTAGAGGATGTTTTTGTCTGTTTATTTGTACTTTTACTTAAGTACAGTGTTTTGAGTACTTTCTCCACCACTGCTGTTAACCATCTGTATGTCATGGCTCACTGGATGTCTGCTACAGTCTCTAAATCTTGTAACTGGATGCTTTCTCAGTGGGGGATAAACAGTAATATTCTTAAACTGGACGCTGTCAGATGCATACCCAACATGTTCTCTTAAAAGAAAACTAGGATTGCAGCAAGAAAATCAGTAAAAATGTCCTTGATCAGGCTGTATGTTCTGTTTTTTTTTTTTTTTACCTAGCTTCATCCTAACTGACAATGTATGCAGATGGGAAAATCATTTAGAAAACTATCTCGACATGATGGCCAAAGCCACAGAGCAGACACAAGGAAACGACAATGCACCAAACAAGAAGGAATTAGTCCCTTAGTGAGAGTTCACCAAACAGATCAATTAGATTCCAACCTTGAGAAGTTGAGGGGAAAAAACAAAAACGTCTGGCGCTCTTCGATCTGCCTTTCAAGATAAACACAATTTGAAAGAAAAGTGTTTTCTACCTGAGCAGAACTGAAATCAGATTATTCCAGACCGACATAACTCAGAAAGATTAGATTTCCATCATAAATTTTGCCATCCAGCCAGAAAAAAAAAGGCCAAGACTTCTCCCATTGGACACAGCTAAATCACAAAATCAATCTGTTTACACTGTACCTGATGCAGCTGTAGTGTTTGAAGGTGCTGGCTGCCTTTTGACATTCCAGACAGAGCTGAATCGCACCTGGATAGTCTTCCTCCTAAAAGAAGCAGAGAGGTCGTTTAGTGTCTTTTCCAAAAATACAAACTTTTCAGTGCAGTTTCATGTAAAACACAAAATTTTAAATTGGATCAAATGACACTTTAACAGCATTTATGTAAAAATAAAATGTGTCTGGGAACAAAACAAAATGTAGGCTACATGTGATGTCCTTTTGTATCTTGTTCCAATGTGGCACAACATTTACAGTATCTGAAAACAGTTGTCAGAATTTGTCAGACTTGTACGGCTGTCAGACTCATTTCACACACTTCGACTGACCTTTACAACAGACACGCATTTGTCAAACAATCTAGTATTAGTGTTGGTTTTGCTTTTAGTGCTGAATCTTCTCTGATGTTTGACCTTTCAAGTCCATTATGAAGTTTTCTGTATGTATGCATGTACAGTTGAAGGGATTACAATACCTCAAGCATCTCGCTGAGTCTTACATCTGTTCTTTGCTGTGAGGAAAAGAGCAAGAAAGGAAAAAACATATGAATACCACAAAGTATTAAGTAGATAACAGGCTCAGAAGCAGATCGTTTCTTTCCTGATGAGACAATGCTAGTAATATATGGGAGTTTTAATGATTATTTGTGCTAATATCACTTGCACATGTGTGATTGTGAGTATTTCAAAGTGAATCCGTTCAATTCATGGCAACAGCTCTGATTATTCCTGCAGTCAGCATGCCAAATGCACGCTCCCTCAAAACCTGTGACATCTGTGGCATTGTGCTGTGATAAAACTGTACAAGTTAAGAGTGGCCTTTTATTGTGGGCAGCCTAAGACACACCTGTGCAACAATCCTGCTGTCTAATCAGTAGGAGTGCACCGATTGCAGTTTTCTGGCCGGTCACGATTTCTAAAACGTCTGACCTGCCGATACGATTTTGTTTTATAAGCGACACTGTCCGGTGTTATAAGGTCACAATGCATCTTCAACTTTCCAATATTATTTTGTTGAAAAACATACCCTTGAACATCCTAGAAACAATACAAACTGGTTTTAACTGGCCATGAGGTAGTGCTCTGAAATATAAATGAAGTTTAGACAGCTGTTGTTAAAACTAAAAAAAATTGATAAAATTGGTTTCTCATGCAAGAATCAGCCGATTTCCGATTTCCCAAAATTAAGAAAATTGGTGCCAATTAATCGGCCGGCCGATTTATCGGTGCACTCCTACTAATCAGCATCTTGAAATGCCACACCTGTGAGGTGGATGGATTATCTTCACAAAAGAGAAGTGCTCACTAACAGATTTACACAAATTTGTGAACAATATTTGAGAGAAAAGACCTTTTTGTGTAGGTAGAAATTTTATTAAGTCTTTGAGTTCAGCTCATGAAAAATGGGAGCAAAAACAAAAGTGATGTGTTTATCCAACATTTTTCAGTCAGGTCATCTGGACAGTTTATTTTTTTGTGCTGAAACGTTTCGCCTTCGATCCGGAAGGCTTCATCAGTCAAGGAAACACAAAGCAAAACTGATTCTTCCCCCAACAGCTTACTCCAAAGTGGAACAAACCAGTTTTGTTGGTGTTAAGATGGTCAATATTGACTGGACTGACATATTAATTATTGGACTGACATATTAACTGGACTTTACATCTCAGGAGAGAAGTTTTCTGGGTGTTTTCTGTACAATGAAATTCATTTAAACAACAAATAAATGCAGTTTAGAGTAGAATATTTCATGTTTTTTAAAAATGTAACTTTACCAGGGTCTTGATGGTCCTTAGGGACTTGAGTAGACCTGTCAGCAGTTGTCGCCTCCTCTGATTGGCTAACAGACCCAGGCTGGCCTCTGTGAACCCCTCCTTTGCGCCTCGTAGTTGCCTTCACACACAAAGTCCAGGTGGGGTTTACAGTTATTTACAGTTTAAGAATTTTTAAGACAACTTGAACAAAAACGTAACATAAGCAAGGTTACATCAAGGTTGTTAAGGAAGGTATGTACCAGTAGATATTTGGCAGCTCTGGCAGACATTCACATAGAATAAACAAATAATTTTCACTTGGGTTGTTGTAAATGTGACTACAACAGATGTGATGAACAGCTGTTTTTCTTGTCTAAAGATGAATATCATGTATTCAGAATATGCCTTGATATGGTTTTGTTTTTGTTTTCCTTGTAGCTGCGCTCCCTGCAGGGGTCGCCACAGCGAGCGAACCCAATCATTTTACACCAAACGGCCTTCCTGACGAAACCTGGGATCAAACCTGCAGCCTCAAGATTATGAGTCCACGGCACTGACCACCGAGCTACAGCAGCCTCTGCTTTCCCATCTTTGTGTGTTAGAATAATTTTGCTTTGTTTTCATTTTCTACCTAAATTATTCACTCATGCACACTAATCTGAATGATTTCCACATCGCATTATTGTTTTGTTTTACTTTGATTTAATTAGACGTGTAGTGAACTAGGCCTGAGGTCAAATCCTGACCTTAAGGACCTTATGGGACAGAAACTGTCATTTCATTGATTTGAATCCAGAAATACAGGTTGACCCATCCTGAGACTTTCTTTCTTGAATTAATCAAGTGAAAGAACACTACTTTCTATTATCATTACTATTTTACAAATGTTTGATAATCAAATTGTGTTAGTTCAAACCATTTTTAAATGTTGAAGTGAACTACTCATTTTTAAATCAACTGTGAAACAGTAATAATGATTGTTAATCCTCATTCAAAGTAGAAATCAGGTTAATGATGCATTGTCTGATTTTCTGTCTTCAATGAGCAAGTTGTGTAAGTTGGTCAAAGTTCAAGTTTCGGTCAACTGCAAGTTTACTGAAAAAGAAATGTCATGTTTAACTTTTTCAGGCAGATACTAGAGAATTGACTCCACGAAGTCTGAGTTCTTCATAATATCTTCTGTCTGTTCTTAAACAATCTAATCTTTTTCCTTGACTTTTTAATAACACCTTACATCACAAAACACACCTCTGTTGGTCCATCGACCAATCAGAAAGTCCTCAAATGAACCGGAAGTGACCCTTTTTAAAAGGTGCACCACTTCCTAGTTCTAAAACTGGTTCCAGCTCCAGTCGAGTTCTGGAGAGCTCAGTAGTTCTGAGAAGTTCTCGGCAGTTCTGGGAAGAACGCTGAGGAGAACGCTGAGAGAATGCTGTGAGTTGGTTCCGAAAGTTCCAGAGTTCAGAAGGCTGGAATTCAGGATGCTGGAGGAAGAAAAACAAGCTGAACGAGAGAAGATCAGGGAATTATGAAATGTCTGTTCTGGATGATCTCACGACTCCTGAGGTTTAGCTGTTCTTACGGAGACGCTGGAAGAGTTGAAAGGAAAGCTCTACACCAACGCTGAAATTATCATCTGCAAAGGTAAAAGAGTCGATCCCAACCAAAGTGTACCGTGGGTCAAGCTGGTCTAGAAGGAGCGTGCTGTTCTGGTATAACAGACAAATTCCCTCCCCATCTCTCTCAACTTAAACTTCATTTTCCATCTTTAAACTCTTCTATCTGCTAGCAAATTAATCCAGATATTTTTAGAAATGTCTGTGGTGAAGCAACGGAAAATCATGGCCGTATGGTTTTCCTGATTGTAAAGCTGATTAATTATGTTGTTATTTTCAATTTTTGCCAATTAATGTAAATGTGTGATGTGTTAAACTTGATTCTGTTAATAAATGACCACGTTCATTTTGATGGGTCAAAGATAATTAACGTCTCACGTTACATTTTTAATAATTCAATGCACGACATTATTCAGTCCAGAAAAATGAAAGAATCCGTTTAATTTATGAATATATACAGCATATGTTCATCTACAGACGTAATATTGCTCTTTAATAACTTTCTCATATGGCGTGTCTCCCTTTTGGTCATAGAAACGGGACTACAGGGCTTGAGAGTGAATTGAGGACTTTGTGGACAGGCTGCATGCCGCGTGGCTTCAATGCTTTCTGAAGTCACAGTTGCATTTGGAGTTGCAGTTGCAGGTGAATGCCATTCCCCTGCACTTTCACCACTTCTCAGAACCATTCCCACTGTGCTATCAAAGAGAGATGAAAACCATCTATTTCAACAGATGGGGGCTCTATGAGAGGAAATCATGGTTATGAGACAAGCACTTGGTAATCAGATGCAGAATGAACGAGCTGTTTGAGAAACTATTCCAGAGTCGGTTGCATGTTACAGAACATCATTACCTCCTTGCATTAGTGCAAATGACTGCTGCCAGCTGCAGGTTGGTCTGTAAGGCCGTCACCCTCTCCAGTTCCTGTGAACATAAACAATGACTTGAAACACAAATTGCAATCATTAAAACAAAGCAGCATTATGTATTTATATTTGTCATTAGAAAGAGGCAAGATACGGCTCTAATATCATTTCAGACAACTCATCTCCCCTAAACATTGCAAAGATGCAAACAGCTGTTCTCACACTTTGATCCAAGTATCTTTCAGTGCACATATCTCTGCTGTGAGCTGAAAAATGATATTAGCACGGTAGGGGGCAAGTTTCCCCTGCCAAACTCACAACTTAAGGGTTCAAGAGAATATTGTTTAAAACAGAAAAACCAAAGAGATCCTTTCTTTAGAGCTGTGACATTTAGAGGAGCATCAATGAGCACTCTGCTCTCAAGAGTTCAGAAATGATCCCACTTCAATGACCTCTGCTGAGCACAAACATAACTCTGGGCTGACATTTCTTGTCCTCTTTGTGCTTTTATTTTCTTGATCTGCCAGATGTAAAGCCTGAGGTGTGGTAACATGCTTGTTTGATCTCATTTTTCAACATTAAATCAACCCTTCCAAAACAAAACAAAAAACAGGCCCAGTGTTTTCAAAAAATAATTTATAACATTGTCAAATGAAAAATAATCTTTTGCCAACGGAATATGGTCTGAGGAAATTCATTTTCACGGTAATAATAAAGCAACAACAACAGTAAAAGCAGCACTTCAGCTGTGGGCAAACCAATCTGACCTCATGATCTTGAGTGCTGACGAAGATCTCGATACGTCTCGAGAATTTTTCTAAAGGTTTATTAAATGGAAAGAGTTTTCTCTAAAGGAATAAAAACCATGTGATGCAAAACAGCCAGATGTTGGAACACTGGTCCAAGAGAAGAATCAAACCAAAAACAGCTTCAAGCAGGTAAGCTCCATGCCCGGGTTGAATGTACACTATAGTTGCACAAAAATTTAGTATTTAAAAAAAAGCTGCCTATATCAATAAGTTGTTTGTTTTACTTTTAATCATGAAATAATTTCACAGATTGAGAATTACAACAATGTCAACACCTTACAAAAGTCCACAGAAACTTTAGTAGTAGGGAGGCGGCTGTGGCTTAGTGGTTAGAGCAGTGGGGGTTCGAATCCACCAGCAGGCACATGCTGGTGTCCCTGGGCAAGACACTGAACCCCTCATAGCCTCCAATGTGTGTCCCATCAGTGTCTGAATGTGATCTAAAGATCTGATTAGTTTCTTTAGAATGATTTGTTCAATTATCTTTGTAGAGATCTAGTAGAGTGCTGTATGAATGGGTAAATGAGGACACAGGTTGTAGTGTAAAGCGCTTCGAGTATCTTGATATAAGATAGAAAGGCGCTATATAAGTACAGTCTATTTACCATTTAGTACTGCATTTGCGATTCTTGGAAAATTTCAAATTATTGTAAGTCGTTCAACCCTGAAAACCACAACAACCCAAGTTGATACAACAATAATGACACACAAACGCATCAGAAATGAACAATCTGGGTTTGCACCATACATTGTTGAACATGCCAGCCTTGCAACTGTCCTCACACCCCTCAGCTCACAGTACATTTAAAATAAAGAGCTTAATCGCTTTAAAATATATAAATAATAGTACTGATAATATAACTAAGCCTGTTACAATAACAAATTTTGCTGGGCCATTGTCTCAGAAATTATTGCGATAAACAATAATATTGTTTGAAATTTGACAATAATATGTAATTGTCAAATTTAAGAAGAAATGTTGGTTAATTTGTTTTGAGTGTATTACTTTTTTGACTACCATACGACTGTTTGAACCGAAGGATGGATAGTGAGGGAGCGAAGAGCGTGTCTCTTTAAGAAAAATGGGAGGGAGGCCCCTTGACGAGACATGAGCTGTCTCTCTTCGGTTCTCAAAATGGCGGACGCTCTGTGTGGTCTGAGCTCTTTAGAATAGAATTTGTCACACAAAGCTTTTACTAAAAATCAGTAAACAAGTTTTCAGCTTCACAGTGGCGCAACTGGTAGAGCTGCTGCCTCTCTGCGAGCAGGTCCCTGGTTCAAATCCCGGTCCGGGGGCCTTTCTGGGTGGAGTTTGCATGTTCTCTCCATGCATGTGTGGGTTTTCTCCGGGTACTCCAGTTTCCTCCCAAAGACCAAAAATATGCATGTTAGGCTGATTAGTAACTCTAAATTGTCCCTAGGTGAGAGTGAGAGAGTGAATGGTTGTTTGTCTCGTTTGTCTCTATGTGGCCCTGTGATGGACTGGAGACCCTCACACAGTGATTGCCGGACATGGGCACCAGCGACCCCTGTGACCCAAAATGGAAGAAGCAGGTAAAAAATAATGAATGGATGGATGGATTTTGGAGCTTCGACAAGACAGAGTTTTTTTCCCCAAGCTCAGCCTGTTAGCTTAGCTTGTAGCTTAGCTTTTCTGCTTAGCTGCTTTTAATGATCCAAAAATGTGATTTGGGACAGTTAAAATGGATTTTCAAGAGAAAGGGAGGGGTCAGTGAAGAGCACTGGAGTTGAGCCTTTTGTCATCCAGTGTCTTCAGTAGAAAGAGAGACACAAAGAAACGATAAAGCTGATAAATGAAAATGAGGCTGATAATTTTAATTTATTAATTGTTTAATTGATTAATTGATTTATTGTTTATCACAACATGCCTAAATATAACAATCATTTCATAAAAACCCTTTTTAACTGAACAAACAGAAATAACCACCAGGCATCCAACAGTTTTCATGTAGCATCAGATAAAACCACTAAATATTTACATGTACCCCTTCAACAGTTACTGTTCCCCTGTTGACCCCTAGCCTTCCTGTGGGACATAAACTTATAAACATTTATACAGAACTAAATAACTTTCATCCAGGCAGCAATTCCCATATCAAGTCTTAAAAACCAATACACTTAGGAACCACAGCAGCGTTTGTAGGGCAGTTAGCATTGCATTAAACCAAAAAGATGACCTTGTCTACTAAAAAGTGGGAACTGGCCGTATGTTTTACCAGGTCCAACTGAAAAATAATTTAATAAACTGAAACCAGCTGATAGAATTTCATGCTGCAAGCGTGGAGACACATCTTCAGCTTGAAGTGCCATTAATAACTGCAAACCTCTGCTATGTTAAAACTCACCCATAGGTTCGCACTGAGGATGCACAAGCCATATATGGTACAGGAGTCAGTCACACAGCTAAAATCTTGAACTTTTTAACCATCAAAAAACAGAAAAAATAGCTTGTAAATAAACAGTCAATTAATATTTGCAGATATGCATATCAATAAGACTAGTTTTATTCATATGAATATTGGATATTGGTTTTAAATTTACAACAAAAGCGTACCAATATGTAAATCTAGCTTAAGAAAAAGTCATTTATTTCACTCTCCACCAGGAACTAATCTCCTCCAAGCAAACTCACATTATGCAGGACAATCTCCATTCAACCTGCGACTGCCATTATCAACACACAGCAGTTAAAAAAACAATGATCTCCTCGTAAAAGCTGGAAACACTCAGGGCTTCTGATTTGTGCACAGACATACTGGAAAAGGATTACACAAACACCCAAGCATATGGGTGGAAACACACAAACACACAGCCATCGAGACACTGGTGCTGAACATGATGAGGGCTCCAATGTTTGCCTGAAGCTCCCTCCAATGTGGTGTTACATCACAGCTTCGAGGTGTCTGTGAGGTACACTTTAACTGAGCGACAGCCAGTTAAAGCAGCTTAGCCTGGATGAAAGGAGAAGTGGTACCTGCACACAGTGATGGGCTGGAATGTCTGGTCAGACTGGTTTTAACATTCAGAGCTTATAGACATGACTGCACTAACCTATAAAGACAGTATGTCATAAGGGAGCTTTTTTCCAGCCTCCATTATTCATGTATTCATAAGAGGTCCATGCTGTGACCCTTCAGCACATGGGCTATGCGCTGCCTCCTTCTACCTAACTTTACATTAAAATGATGCTTCTGTTGGGGCTCTGCCTCACCTTGTTATATTTAAGCCATTAAAAAGTTAAATTAAATGTAATTTAGGTCACATGACTGCATGATCTGACTAACAGTTACGTTCAGTTTAGTGTGTTTATTTTTTCCATATGTGTTACCTTAACGTTAACTGAACCGATGTACAGACAGTAATCACCTTTTCACATTATTTTATTTTGACCAGTTTGTTGTAAATGGAAGGTGATCCCAAGTGCTGGGCACATCTTAAAACAACTGAAGCACAGCAAAGGTCAAAGAGGATGATGATAACGCTCACTTGGATAACAGTATTGTTTATATTAATAATCTAGTCAACAACAGCACAGTTCCACCCTTTTGTAATGGTTTTGAGTGATCTAGTCAGAGCCAGTTGGTAAAATGCCTTTACATTTTCCAGCTAGACAAACGCACTCCTTGCCAAATATCAAAGTCAGTGTCTGATGGCTTTGTTCTTAAACATTTTTAAACTGATGAAATAAGAGTGGGACATTTATCAGAAGTTTATTGCTGTTGACATTTTAGTGGTTCACAACCTAAACGCGTGTTTAATTAAAGGATGAGTGATATATCAAATATACACAAGCTGTAAACAAATATCCACTGTCTCTGAATGATTTAAAGCTAATGTTTGTAGTTTTTGAGATGAGTGTTTTTTCTAGACTGGAACTGAACAGGGAATGAAGTAAACCTTAATGGTATTTGTGCAAGATATTCAAGCACATGGCAGTTACATGGTGTAAAAGAACAGAGGGTTTTTATTACATGTCCGAGGTGGCACAGAGTGATGGATCCTAGTGAGCAGAAGGAGCAATTTTATACAGCACCAGGTGCAGAGGCAAAACCAGGGGGTGGCCAATGGTGGCCTTGGCCATCCGAGATTAATCAGTAGCCACCCAAATCATTTGAGGAAACAATATTTTTCAGCAATATAAAATCTAGAAAGCACAGTTTCCTCAAATGACAGGGGTGAACAGTTTACACACACACACAGTCACACACACACACAGTCACACACACAC